GAAGCTAAAACTACCAATCCTTCAGGTGATAAATTTATTAATTCAATTTGTTAAAAAAAAAAAACTCGTTGTGCAGTTTCCAAGGAGGCACTGTGAAACCCCCAGATCCAGTTCTAACAGTGAGCAGCAGGCCCAGGAACACAGAAATTGTCAAAATGTTTGACTGCTTACTCTTCTAGATCCCAGTGCTAACATCACCACGTGCCTGCTTAAATAAAGTACATTTACTTAGAGTCATTAGCTCAAACTTGGCCAACTCAGAAATGTAAAATTCTACAGATTTGTGTAAGCATCCATGGGACAGAACTTGCTAAGAATGCCCGATTTCAAAAGAGAGTTGTCCGAAAATTTCAAAAAAAACTGAAGTTCCTGGAAGATGTTTAAGCCTATGGCTTTGGATATTCCCTAAAAATTCCCCTGTATGAAAAGCATACACTAAGACGTAGTGCTTATGTGTCCAGGTTGAACACTCTATCGTTAATTTACAACTTTGGGTTTTAGTCAATAATTACTTTTATTGAACAGTGGCAAGAAATTCATCAAAGGATATTCTGTCAGAAATAAGAGTCTCTGGGTTTAAGAAGCAAGAGTTTTGGGTTGACAATAGTAGTTTACAACTATATTAATATTTGTATAAGCATAGTTCAATCAAATAAAAGCATACAGAGAGATAGCATATGCAAAATTGCTGTTTCAGAACACTGATCCAACCGGTAAATTGCATACTACCTGAAACAATGCTGCTGACCTGGCTGGAAGCTCAAAAAACCAGCTATAGGCTAAGACAAATCTCTTTAATAAACTACTTCTCCTTTGTAGAGTAGATCCGAATTCTTATATACCAATTCTTATATACCGTTCACTCCCAAAGGTTACTTGAAGAGTCTAACAATAAAATGCACAGTTATCGTCAAAAAATAAACAAAAATAACTACAGAACAACTTTTCATCAAGTGATGGCAGGGGGAGGGGAAAGTTGTGGAAGGGCTATTTTAGTTTATGTACACACTGAAGCCAAGAGTCACTATTGCAACTGAGCATAAAACCTAGTTTCTGGCATCCTGGTAGCCAAAGCAAAAAAGGAAACTGGGGGGAAAAATTAAAAGTCCCTGTTCATCAGAGAAATAAATGTTTCCCTAAAAGTGAACTGAAACATACACTTCCTCATATGAGAGATTCTGAACAGCATAGTAAAATAAATCCTCATTAGTAGTTTGTTCAACAACGACTATCTATCTATTAAGTACCTTCTACCTTTCCAGGCTCCGTTCTAGGAGCTTAGTATATTATCAGCCAACAAACCAGATAAAAATCTCTTCCCTGGGGAAGCCCACATTCACTGAAGTAGATAATCAACAAATAAACATAATAGGTAAATTATATACTGGGTTATTATGCTATGGAACAAAAGAAAGGGAAGGGCTGGGTAAGGGAGATCAGGAGTGGCAGAAAAAGGCAGATTGTAATTCTGAATAGAGAGTCAAGGTATTGAGAAAGGTATTGAGATGGTGAGTGAAGACAGCATGAGCCAGTATGGAGAAGAGAAGAGTGTTTCAGACAGAGGAAGCACACAGTGCTAAGGCCCTAAGGGAAGCATACAGGCCTGTGTGAAGAAGAGCAAGGAGTCCAAAGTAGAAGGGGGAGGAGAACGAAGACAAGAACTCAAAGAGTAAACAAGGGACCATGTCAAGGAAGCCATGGAGGTCACAGTAAAATCTTTTTTTCCCCTTACAAAAACAGGAAGCCAACAGAGGATTTGAGCAGAGAAGTGCCACCATCTGACTTCTGTTTTTAAAGGATCACTGTTGAGAATGGACTGCAAGGGCAGAAGTAGGAAAATGAGTTATGAGGGAGGCTATTTCAGGAATCCGGGTGAGAGAGGACGGTGGCAGTGAAAACACGAACAAGGAAGCAGATTCTGGTGACATTTCTAAGTCAGAGTTCACAGGACTTGTTAATGGATTAGAGGTGGAGTGTGAGAGGAGAGTGAAGAGGACTACACAGTTTTTGGGTTTGGCCATCCATCAAGATAGGGAAGACTATGGGAAGGACTGAGGTAAATCCGGAATTCTGTTCCGGCTATGTTTGAGATGGCTGTAGACACCCAGGCAGAGATACAAGGAGGAAGTTGGACATATAAGTGTGGGTTAAGGAAAGACGTCAAAGCTGGAGAAGTAAATGTTAGAATAACCAGAATCAATAGTATCTGAAGCCATGAGTTTAGATGAGGTCAACAAGGGAATGAGTGTCTACAGAAAAGATCAAAGGAGAGAGCCTTAGGGCCCTCCAAAAATCAAGGAGATGAGAACCAGCAAAGGAAACTGAGACGAAATGGCGAGTGAGCAAGAAGTACCAGCACATGTAGAAAAATTTAAGATGTTTTATACAATCCACCGATGACAGCAAAAGTTACAATGATATCAAGTCAAAGTTCAGGGAAGATGCTTCGATAGGAAGCTATTACACAGCAGTCCAGATGTTTAGCTCTTGGCCAATTCTGGCTTGATTGCCGCAAGCTGTCAGCATCAAGGGAAGGTAGTGAAGGGAAAGCCAGGGCAGGTCCGAGGCTGGAGGTCAGAAGAGCACAGACAACAAACACTGTCAGCCCAAGAAGCACTTCAGAATTTGAAAAGTGAGCTGGGTTAGATGCCAGAGGAGCTCACTGGGAAATACCAATTCCAAACCTAAAAGTTAATGTGCAGTCCCTTCCTGATCTGTCCCTGCAAAAGTGCCTATCGCAACATTTGCCCTTCTGCTAGTTCAATCCCACCTTTGGTCCTGGGCCTGGAAAGCAGACCCTAAAGCACACCAGAAGCCCCTTCCTCATTAGCAAAAGGGCCCAGAAAGAGTTTCTTGCCGAGTCTGAGCACAAGGGACAGAGATCCCAGCACGCCCCTGAGCATACACATCTGCTTGTGAGAACAATAAAGGACAAGGAGTGTTACCTCGTGTGTTTGTTTTCATTCTCTCTCTCTCTCAAATAGAAAAAATATTAAATTCAGAACAAGGGAAAATATAATGGAGTAGTAAATGAGGCCTAAATCAGTTAGCAAAAATGACTATTATGAAGTTCAACATGGTTGTTTAACGATGGGATATAAATTTAGCTAAAGCAATATGGACATCATGATCTCTTACAAGATTCACAATGTTCAACCAAATATTTTCGCAAGAAATGTCCCAGCATTGCCTGATATCAAGGCTTACGGCAACTTTTCTAATGATTCCTCAAAAAAGGGCTGCTGAAAGACACACTGGATTACAAAGTGTAAAAGTTTTCTGTGGCTGTTTCTTAAACTATTTCCTATCCTCTCGATATTGTAAGCTGAGGACATAATACAAACTAATTCAGTAGAAAAAATCTGAGGCAAAAGGAAGTACAGCATTCTAAGTATTCAATATTTTGAAGGAACTAGTGTGCAAAATCCTTTAGAATTTCATGAATGAACACTATTTCTCCAAAACAAGTTTTCATTCATAGCTGGAGCAGGTCAAGTGCTCAGGAAGAACTCAGAAAGCAACATTCAACACCACCACTTGAGGGTTGTCTACCTACTATAAGTCAACCGAGCAGAAATTTCAACATTCTCATAAAAATTACAGAACCTATGTAAGACTCTTGCCTGGATAGATACCCTCTCATTTCATACAAAAAGAGTGTGAGGAAACCTGTAGGAATGGCCAAGATTCCCTTATTTCCTTCCCCGTCCCCTCCCCACCCCACCCTCCCCCAATGCAAAAGAGTTCTGAACTTCCCCAACATGTAAGATGAATAACCAACCAATCAAGGCACTGAAGTTCTTTGTCTCACAGTAAGTATAATTATAATTTGCTATCTTTCTTTAAAGGACTCTGACTTTGTACTTTTTAAATGATGAGAGAAATTTTCTAGTAAGGATATTAGCAATAGCTCAGCAATTTCACTTTTGAAAGAAAAATACCGAGGCACATTTAATAAGCCCTAACAAATTTTACTTTTGCTAAAAGCTGCCATCTCAACCCTTCTCTTGACAGCACTATCTGCCTTTAATTGGCTGCCAAGACCATATAAATTCAGGCAATTAAACAAAAACCAATGACCAATGAGATAGTGGCAATACATGGAAAATCAAGAAACAAAAGTCAAAAAAGTAATGAGTAATTTCTTGATTAAAATACAGATCTAGACATCAGAGAAACAATGAGTGGAAAGTTACCAAATTGTGGGTACAGCTCTCCAGTTCATAAAAAATTAATAAGCTCTGCACAAAAATTAGATGCTGTTTTCCATATCTAGGCAGATTTCTGATGCATAACCCTTTCAAAACAACCCCTGAAATACAGATTTAATCAATTCTAAAAACTGTTCCTGCGTCAGCATACAGGCTATTAAACCTCTTAGAATTAAATACAGTTTTCCATCGTGGTAGATTATGTTGTTGTTTCAGTTACTTGCTGCCTCCCCATAACAGGCTTTACCTCCCATTGTCACGTGGCTCATAGCGTCTCCAAATGGAAAATCATTGTATTTCCCTATCCCATTGTTGGTAGGCTTAGCCATGTGACTTGCTTCAGCCAACTGAAAGCAAGTGAAACTGACATACAGTCAGAAGCATTAAGAGCCATGAATGGACTGGTCATTTCCTTTCTCACTCTTTCAGACTCGCATGGCACACTCAGCCTGGATCTAGAATAAAGACCCTAGAGCAGAGTCATAGCTGTCATGGACAGTGAACAGGAAATTAAAATGTTATTTTAAGCCACTGAGCATCATCCAGTCTAAGCTGAGAAATGAAACAACACTTAATTTTTTTAAATGTTTTAATTCTCAATGGAACACATACCTAGAGCAGCCTAATTAAGGTAGATGGACAAGCAGGTCTTACCACCAGCCACTTTTCATACTAACCACCAGCATAATGAATATAATAAACTGAACATAACATCTGCCTTTTTCTAATTAACCTTTTTGCCTTATAAATATGTGTTTTAGGGGGAAGGGGAAAACTTAAGTTACTGACCTTTAGAAGACCTTCTTGAGAACAATGGCAGGTTCAAAGAAGATAAGGTTCAACAGCTCACTCTTCCACAGTCACGTAATTAATCTCTAACTGATGGGGAGAAAAAACAAGAATCAAGGTTATAAACTTAACCGGCACACCAGTTTCCCCACAAAACAAGGAAACGCAATTGCCTGGGATTTCATGGGATGTAGGAATCATTCCCCAAAAAGCCTAGGTTCATTTTAGCTTTTTAGTATTAGCCACTGCCTACTGTAAGATCTGATGATACAAATAGTTTTTCAAATGATCAATTAAAACAGAACTAGATGAAAATTACTAGGACTCTCGATTTTTTCCTAGAAGCCAAAGGAGAAAAAATAAGCCCAGAGTTAAGACTACTCTCATAGCTACTCTGATGAAAAAATATATAAATTCATTTAAAAAATTAATTTCAGAAGAAAAAAACATTCAACGCCACCTCTTGCAAATTTGTGATGAGGTGTGTTGCTAAGCTAGAAGTCCAGAGAAACTCAGAACACTTACTTACTAGACTAAGCTCACCGGCTGTCATATCCAGAGGCTGTGGTCAGTCATGAAAAAAAAAGGTACAGTGAGAAGGTACCTAGTGCAAGGTCAAGAGCAAAGCTAAGAAATCCCATACAGGCATAAGCCAAGTCAAGGTTTACAGACCTTACAAGTTGTAAATCTACAGTTTACCCAAGAGACTGGAGGAGAGATAATGCTATATACTAACTACACTCTGCCTTGAAAAGTCCTGAATCCAGGAGCCCATGGTTCTCCCTACCAGGATTAGCAAGCCTGTAATAGATATCAGAAAGGCTTTTTGTACTGCTAAAATCAAATCAAGTTAGGAACAGTATTTCATATTATTTGATACAAAGTTATACCCAGAAGGTATGAATTTTCATGGATTTGGGGAATTTTTCCATAATCTTAAAGTGGTACAAGGTAACGACAGTCTTGCCTTTGGCAGGACTAGTCTGTGGTGGATCTTGGTAAAACCAGAGCTCGGGGAGAGACGCAGCAAGAAATTAGCGTCCAGCGGCTTGAGGTGTCCTGTTTGAAAGCAGATATTAGAGTCTGATTTGCTTGGAAGGGAACAAAGAATTTCCTGGGGACATTTTTCCTTGATCCAAATAACGGCTGGAAAAAAATGGGAGGAAGCATTCAGCGGGGAAAAATGTGGTAGGATGGCAACCATTTTCTTTTCACACATTTCCCTTTTTTTAAAAAAAAAAAATCCACCCATCCTTAGCCTTGGCTGCTCTGTTTCCTACATGAGCCCAGACTCTCTGGCCACAGTTGATTGGAACACAGTGAGGACAAGGAAGCATACACTAAGCCAATCAACAGGAAGAGAGAGAGGGCCAGGGAGAGTGAACTATAAGGTATAAAATAGGAATTAGGCTTGAAATGGGAGCTAGTCATGAGAAGCAAGGGCTGGGCTGCCATTTTCTACCACCTGTGAGCTGAAGCAGAGAAAAGTGGTCTACAGAGAAAAGCCAAGGAATGGTACAAATGCTGAAGGTACCATGAGTGCCCCAAGGAAATCATAATCATAACTTCAGGTCTTAACTGCCCATCTCCCAGGAGGACTGGCTGGGCTACCATGCTCGTGGGTTTCACTGGGTTCTTTCCAAGAAATTCCTTACAGTTGATGCGGGTTTAAGCCAGTTTAAATGAGTTTCTTTTCTGCAGCCAATAAGCCTAATCGGTTTATTTTAAATTTTGGTTTATTTCTTTTTAAATGTTTGATCTTAATAAACCTTTTAAATTAAAAAATAACATACATACTATAAAATACATAAATCTTATTTATCATAATGAATTCTTATAGATGAACACATCTGTCATCAGCAACTAGATCAAAAAATAGAGATCAAGACCCCACAAGCTTCCCTATGCCTCTTCCCAGTAATTATATCCCTTGCACACCCCGGCCCTATTCTGACCTCTGTCACCATTCATTACTTTTGCCTCTTTTTGAGCTGCATATAAATGAAACCATACAATATGTACACTTGCTTCTGACTTCTTTTACTCGATGTAATATCTATGAGATTCACCGTGTTGTTCTGTGTAGCAGTAACTTGTTCTTTTTTATTGCTTTGTAGTATTTCACTGTATAACCATACTACAACTTATTTACTCATTTGTGGATATTTCAATTGTTTCTACTATTCCACGATGAACATTCTTATGTTTCTGGCACACATATGCACTCATTCTTGTTGGGCATATATATCTAGGAGTGTAAGTACTGAATCATAGGATATGTATTTGTTCAGCTTTATAGATTAGTCCTTTAGCTTTCCAAAGTAGTTATATCAATTTACATTTCCACATGCAGTGTAGGAGGGTTTAAGCTTTTCTATATCTCCATTAATGTTTTGTTATCACGGTTTGTTTTTGTTTTTTTTAATTTTAGCCAATTGGGTAAGCATATATAAGTATATATCTTATAGTAGTAGTTTAATTTGCACTTTCCTGATGATTGATACTGAATTCTTCTTTTCTTTTTTAAAAATTAGGTTTCCTGTTTTTCTTGTTTATTTGCAGCAGTTCTTTACATATGCTGGACAAGTTGCTTGATGGATAATGGATGACAAATATCTACTACTTTTTGATTTGTCTTTTCACTCTTAATTTGTACTGCTGAACAAAAGTTCTTAATTATAATGAACACGAGAACAGGCAAAATAGCACATGTTGCTGTGAGAAATACATCCAATCTTTTAGGTCTATACAGCCACTGATGTAAGGAACATGAACTAGTCAACTTTATAGCACCCAGCCCTTACATAGGTCCTGGACTATAAATACAATGTTACTATCCTCACTTCCCCAGAGCTTCAGATACAAGGAATCGCCAGTTTAACCAATAATGTGCCTATAGTTTATCAAGTGTACTTATGCATTATACCCTGGAAACACTGCTATAAATGGTGAATGGTCTGCATCACCAGCCCCTAAAAGTCCCACAGCATGCTTCCAGCAGTTTGGCATGACAGCAGTCCTGTGCAATATTTCCCCCAGAAGAGATGTTCTCAGCATCAACTTGGGGTCCCAAGAACATATCTCATCTCTCCCCATCCTAATGCCCCTAGAGACAAGTACCCGACTTCCACAACTGCCCAGCAATTACCCATTATCTTAAGCAACCAGTGAAGTTTCCTTGTCCTGAGGCAGCAGGAAGAGCAAGGAGCTTCTCAAGTGACCAAAGTTCAACAAAGCTCGAGTAAGGCTCATACATCTATTATCTCACTGATCATCCCAGCTCCTCTGTGACTTTCTCTTTATCCCCATGTTACAGGCAGAGAAAGATTATTTCACTCAGCCAAAACAATTGTGGGAGAGCTTAGAGAGAAGGGAGAAGGGTGGTGACACTTCATGGAGTTGGAGTTTCCCCCTGGACCCAGGCCTCTGAGTCTGCCTTTGCCCTTTTACCTGCTCCCAAGGTTCTTCTTGGATCCACTGTATGTTACCTGAGATCACAGCCCTTACTCTGCTCCTCTGGCCATAAGCAAACAAGACATCTCTTTTAAGATCTCTTTTCAGGGAGTCTTATAGTCAGGAAATACTATATCCTGGGTGTTCCTCCCTTTATCTACCCTCCCTGCTTCCCATCCCCGCTTCTCCTTCTCCTCCCCTCCCCACACCAAGACACACTTAAACAAAATGGCATAATGATATCATTGTTTCTTTTCAGACAGAGCAAAGGAAACATACGCCTAGCAGGAAACAGGAGAGTTGAGACCTTAGACAGAGACCAAGAGTCTAACCAGTGCCTTATACTGAATCTCATCCCTTCAATATGACCAGATAAAAAATAAAGGTAAAAAAATGGGGAATAAGTGGGAAAGGAAAGCTGCTAGGGGTCGATGGGGGTCAACAAGAGAAAAGGAGAGGCTGAGGATGAAGCATGGATTCAGCACCTCCAATCCAGCCTGGGGCCCAGGCTTAAACAGACATAACATGTGAGTTAACAGCTTTAAGTCGGGACTTAAAACGCAAAAAGGTGAACACAGTTATTTGGTCAAATTGGATGTGAGGCCAGAGGTTACAACACTTCCTTTGAAAGAAAATGATTCATAAACTATAAACTATGTAAACTTCAAGCCCCTTAAGCAATATTTCCTCCTTTCGCTGGAGAAGCTGACAGAGCAGGAAA